CTTTCCCCCTTGCTTACCCTCCTGCTGCCCACGAAAATGAAACCAGATCTAACCAATTCATTCTGTCACCAAACATCAGATGTTGTTGCATTCTAATTAATTCATATCCTGATGCCGCCCTGGGCCGTATGGGTAGGGCGGGATATAAATCCCAGAATAAATAAATAAATAAATAAATAAATAAATGCTAAAAACAGATGAGGTCAGGTTGAATTTTGATTAATAAGTTCTAGTTGCACCTAATTTGCCATTGAAATATGGCTTTTGGTGGGCCAGTTTGGTGTAGTGGTTAAGTGTGCGGACTCTAATCTGGGAGAACCGGGTTTGATTCCCCACTCCTCCACTTGCACCTGCTTGATATGACCTTGGGTCAGTCACAAGCTCTGGCACAGCTGTCCTTGAAAAAGAGCAGTTTGTGTCAGAGTTCTCTCAGCCCCACCCACCTCACAGGGTGTCTGTTGTGGGGAGGGGAAGGGAAAGGAGTTTGTAAGCCGCTCTGAGACTCCAAGTGAAGGGCGGGGTATAAATCCAATCTCTTCTTCTCTTCCTCTTCTTCTTCCTCCTCCTCTTCTTTTAGCCCAGGCAATATGGATGTACTGCAATCTATATATCTTTGGTGGTGGAAAGTACCATGAAGTTGTAGCTGACTTTAGGGCTTTCAAGGCAAGAGATGTTCAGAGGTGGTTTGCCACTGCCTGCCTGTGAGTAGCAACCCTGGAATTCCTTGGTGGTCTCCTTTCCAAATACAAATCAGGGCTGACCCTGCTTAGCTTCTGAGACCTGACAAGAATGTGCTTGCCTGGGCCATCCAGGTCAGGGCATCTATCTCTGTCTATGCATGTTGATATTGGACGTTGGCTAACACTCTTTTTCTGCTTCAGTGATACCTCGTATTTGCCCCAGAAATCCATTTCGATGTACTGTACCAGGAATTGATCGTTGCAGTTCTGGCTATGACTGTCCAAGAAACCAAATGTGCTGTTCGTACAATTGCATCAGGGTCTGCAGACTCCCACAAGGTATCTTCTATTTTTTTTCAGGACATCTTTCCACATGACACTTCTTATCTTATCTTATTTATTTATTTATTTCACTTTTACCCTGCCCTCCCCGCCAGGCGGGCTCAGGGCGGCTTCCAGAAACTGATAAACAGGATACATTTTACAGTGATAAAATAAAATACATCATTTAAAAACATAGACAAGTCAATATAAAACAATCCTTCGATGGCAATAAAAATAAAGTGCAGTTTAGGGACACATTCAGCGGTGCCACCACACAAGGTCGCGTTGGATCGGAGTTCACACAGGGCGCTGCTGGTAAGACGTCGCGGAACGCCTGCCTAAAAAGTTCTGTTTTCATGGCCCTGCAAAGCTGTGACAAGTCCCGCAGGGCCCTGATCTCGGCAGGAAGCTCGTTCCAATAGGACAGAGCTACAAACGAAAAAGCCCTCGTCCTGGTCGCCATCAACCTGGCTTCCTTTGGGCCAGGGAGGTCCAGGCGGTTTTGGGATCCTGATCGCAGTGCTCTCTGGGGAACATACAGGGAAAGGTGGTCCCTCAGGAAGGCTGGTCCCTGACCATAAAGGCTTTAAAGGTCAAGACCAGCACCTTGAAACGAATCTGGAATGCTATTGAAAGCCAGTGCAGCGTCTTAAGCACAGGCTGGATGTGCTCCCACCCGGGGAGACCCATCAACAGCCTGGCCACCACTGCAGCCAGATCATTGCGTTCGAGGAAGGGAACCAACTGCCTAATCAGCCGAA